AGAGAGAGAGAGAGAGAGAGAGAGAGAGAGAGAGAGAGAGAGAGAGAGAGAGAGAGAGAGAGAGATGGTCGCTTTTCCCTTCGCTTTGGAGCCTGATTTTGGCGCTTGTCTTTTGGTCTCCGTCTCTCTGTGTCTCTCCTCTCGCTTTTGTTTGTGTGTTGTGATCTGCTTGCCAAGCAAACTGCCGTCTTCACCCGAATATAACGCCCGGTCATTATAGCTGTATTTGGCTCAACTTTCAGCCCAGATACGGCGATAATTACCGGGCGTTCTGTTCCGGTGAAGACGGTAGGGTAGGGCCGTTGCCCACGTGCAGTGTGCCGCCCCCCCCCCTTCCCCCCCCCAAAAAAAAAGAAAAAAAGAAAACAGACGGGCAGCACTGGATGTCCAAGTGCAAGGAATAAATATACAAGCGTCTGTTTTTTATTTCTTTTTTTTCTTTTGGTTTTTGAAAGAGTACCGTTGTTCATCTCGTAAAAAAAAGAAAAAAAAGAAATAAAGAAAACACGTTGTTCATCTCATTCCATCAGGATTTGAACTTAGGCCTGTCTGTCGAAACAGTACATGGGTGTAGGGTTCAGCCACATGGGCTGGGTAAGTCCTTCCTGAGTCAAAATCATGTGAAAATAGAGTAATTTTCCATTTGCATGCTCTGCTTCCAAGGGGGGCAAACTGCACGTGCGGAATCCCCCTACAGTAGTTTGCTGGGCAAGCAGATCACAATATGAACGTGTATGTATATTTATAAGTAGGAGAAAGAGAATGTAGAAGAAGAAGAAGGGGAGGGCTATCACCGTTCTCTCTCTCTCTCTTTCTCTCTTTCTCTCTTTCTCTTTCTCTCTGCCATCCCATCATCGTCCCACACCAAATGAGGGTTCTTCGTTAACAATTTGGCAAAGCCCAGGGGTAGAAGTCAAATTTGACTGTATTGAAGTTTGACTTTTGTATGACTGAAAGCACCACTCTCTCCGAGGGGGGGTGTGCGTCAAGCTGATCTTTTCCGTAGCCTCGCAGAGAGAGAGAGAGAGAGAGAGAGAGAGAGAGAGAGAGAGAGAGAGAGAGAGAGAGAGAGAGAGAGAGAGAGAGAGAGGGCGGGGGGGGGGTACATTTAGACCCCTGATATCTCATGTACATGTCCTTTTTTTCCCCGCCAATTTGCGCGAGAGAGGGGGGGGTGGGGGGGGTACATTTAGACCCCTGATATCTCATGTACGTCCTTTCCCCCCGCCCTAATTTGCACGGCATAGCCGCACGTGGCTTGTAATAAGTAATTGTTTTATATGTCCCACTCGGGCTTCTTCTCCTTTTTTTTTTGTTTTTTTAAATGGTTCTCGTGATTCTAATATTCTGTATTTTTTTTTGTTTGTCCAACCCAGACTTCTTCTTGTTCTTTTTCCCTTTTTTTTTTTTTTGTTAAATCTCTCTCGTTATTCTGTCTGATTTGCTCTGCTCCTCTGCTCTTTTGTCGCACCTGGGCTTCCGCTCTGATACACTCAACTCTCCTCTACTCTCCTTCTTCAAATTCATCTTCTGTGTGGGCACTCTGTAGGTTCATAAATCTTCTATTGAATCTTCTATTGAATCTTCTATTGAAGCTGACTATCAGGTAATGCTTCGCTGTGTGCAATGAATCTTCTTATTGATTTTTTTTTTTTTTTTAAATCTGTTGATGTGTAAGTCTATTGAATCTTCTATTGAAGCTGACTATCAGGTAATGCTACGTTGTGTGCAATGAATCTTCTTATTGATTTTTTTTTTTTTTTTTGAATCTGTTGATGTGTAAGAAATTGTGCATAATTTCAGAAGGACGCGGGCTCGGCAGCAGATCGCCACGTGGGATCCAGTCATCAATCCTTTGGTCCGGTTACAAAAAAAAAAGCCTCTGTGTTAAGAATTGCGCCTCCCTCCTCCTCCTCCTCCACCTCCTCCTCCTCCTCCTCTTCTTCGTCTTCTTCTTCCGCTTCTTCTTCAGATCATTCTTCTCAGCTTTCGAAAGCACAAGTTTCCCAGCTCTGCTGCATAAAGATAAGCAAATTAAGGATAAGGATAAGGATAAGATATACTTTTTTTTCATTTTTTTTTTCAAGACGACAACAATAACAACAACAAGAACTGAGACCGCGACGTGGCAGCCAGCCATCAATGGTGCGCTGCGCTCCTGTTTAATCCAGCCTCTCTCTTTTTTAGAGATTGCATGTCACTCCTCGTCTTCTTTATCCCCTTCCATTCTTCCCAGCTCTGCTTAACGACATTTGTCCCAGCTCTGCTTAAGGATAAGCATACAAGGATAATAAGGACAAGCATCAGTGTTTCCCAACCTCTCATAAGGATAAGGTTCCCAGCTCTGCATCTGGATCAGGATAGGATCAGGCTCCCAGCTCTGCATCAGGATAAGGATAAGGACCAGGTTCACAGCTTTTCATCAGGATGAGGATCAGGTTCCCAGCTCTGCATCAGGATAAAGATACAGATCAGCTTTCCCGCTCTTCTTCAGGATAAGGAATCAGCTTCTCCCCGCTCAGCTTCCCAGCTCTTCATCATCAGCTTAAGGATGAGCTTCCCAGCTCTGCATTAGGATCACTCTCCCATCTCTTGTCATCCGGACCAGGTTCCGATCCGATCTCTACATAAAAATAAGGGTAAGGATAAGATCTACTTTTGTTTTTTTTTTCTAGTTTTTTGATACAAGAAGAAGCAGAAGCAGAAGCAGAAGAAGCAGCAGAAGAAGCAGCAGAAGAAGAAGAAGCAGAAGCAGCAGCAGCAGCAGAAGAAGAAGAAGAAGAAGAAGAAGGAGGAGGAGGAGGAGAAGATGGCGGGCGAGGATGCAGCGTCTGCCCTCCGTCTGATCGCCTCCCACGGTGACCAGAAGGGCAAAACGGAGCAATACAAGGTCCTACTGAGCTCAATCATCTCCTCAGGGTCGGTAGTTAATGCCAAGTCCTTTCTGGACCACATGGTGACCGACGAAGTTCCGCTCGTGATCTCCCGCCAGCTACTGATTGCCTTTGCAAAGGATCTGCCGAAGCTCGACGTGGAAGCGCACAAGGAGGTGGGTCATTACGCGTTGATGCAGATTCAGCCACGTGTGGTGTCGTTCGAGGAACAAGTGTCGAAGATCCGCGAAGGTCTGGCCGAGCTGTACGAGAGAGAAGAGGAATGGTCGACCGCAGCGAAGATGCTCAGCGGGATCGACCTCGACTCGGGAAGATTACAAGACGATGTTAAGGTGGGCAAGTGTGTCAAGATCGCTCTGCTTTATCTTGAAGACGACGACGCCACTAACGCCGAGATCTATATCAAGAAAGCGTCTTTCTTAATTAGTGCGTGTAAGGATGAGGTGGTGCTTCTTCAGTACAAGATTTGTTATGCCAGAATGCTGGATCTTAAGCGAAAGTTCCTGGACGCTGCATTGAGGTACTACGAGCTGTCGCAGCTTCAGAAGAGAGTGTATGGGGAGCGCCACGTGGACGAAGCCGAGCTGGAACAGGCGTTGATGGCGGCAGTGACGTGTACGATCTTAGCAGCCGCCGGGCCGCAAAGGTCGAGGGTGCTGGCCACGCTGTACAAGGATGAAAGATGCTCGAAGCTGAAAATATATCCTATTTTGGAAAAAGTATACCTAGATAGGATACTCCGCAGCCCCGAGGTTCAGGCCTTTGCACAGGAATTGAAACCCCATCAAAAGGCTCTGCTGACGGACAAATCGACGGTGCTAGACCGGGCGGTGATCGAGCACAACCTGCTGAGTGCGAGCAAGTTGTACACCAACATCAGCTTCGAAGAGCTCGGCGCGCTTCTGGGAATCAACCCGGAAAAAGCGGAGAGGATAGCGGCGCGCATGGTGTCGGAAGACCGGATGAGGGGGTCCATCGATCAGGTGGAAGGGGTCATTCATTTTGAAGCTGACGTGGAGGAGCTGCGGCAGTGGGACCACCAGATCCAAGGGGTCTGCATGGCCTTGAACTCGGTATTAGAGGCCATGGTGAAGAGGAGAATGCATGTGGCAGTGTGAATATATATAAATCTTGTGACAATATATATATATATATAATAAAAAAAACAGGCGGAGCTTTCCGTGCTTGCTTCTTCTTTCCTCGTCTGTTTTGTCTTTTTTCGCCGTTGCGCTCCGATACACGGTGTGACGATATATATACCCCTCGTTTGTTGTCCTCTTCTCTCTCTCTGCCTACGGTTTACCGGGCAGTTCTGTTTGTGACGATATATATATATATATATTTGTGACGATATATATATCGGTATGTATATGTATATCATTGGATAAGGAGAGAGGGATTAGGGGGAAAAAAAAGAAAGAATATGGATAAAAGGAGATATGGATAAGGATGATGATTGGATGGATGGGATGAATGAGGGAAGGGATGGATGTTGTAGTGGTGGGTGGTGAGAATAGGTGTACAAAAAGTAAGAACAAAAATGATAAAAAAAAGGATGAAAAAATGATAAAAAAAGAAATTGCAGTATTTTTGTGAAATTGTTTTTTTTTTTTTTTTTGTCCGTGTGAAGGTCGTCGTCGCAATGTGAAACGGAAAAAAAAAGAGCGGTTAAAAAAAGAAAAAGATGAGCGCTGAGTTGGTTGGGTGTAAGAGACTACCGTCTTCCCGCCGAACACAGCGCACCCTAATTCTGAGTGTACACTGGCTATCTTTCCGGTCCGATACAGTCGTCATGTGGGTGCGTTATGTTCGGGGAAGCCAGTACTTAACAACAAGAAGTATAATAACAGATTCCTGGTGGGGGTGTGGGTAAGCGGGTGGGTGTTGAAAATAGGTGCAGTCTGTCTTTCAAGAGCAGCCTGATGGGGTCGTTTTTTTTTTTTGGGTGGGAGAGGGGGGGGGGGGG